ATTACAACTCTACTAAATTGTATCATAAACAGCATTTGGTTCTCTAAAATGTCTGAAGCTTATTATATTTCACAGGGAATTTAGCAAGATTTCATGAAGACTGATCTTGCTGACACCAGAAAATACAGGAAAATCCTCAGAGGAAAAGCACAATAAAAATGCAAAATAGTAATAAAGTCAACAGTAGTTTCATACTACGGACTTGAAAGAACATTCAAAAACGTTAATGAATCTGTAAGTATAGCTCAACTATAGTTAGGGATTTTTAAAGAAACACAGAATGTTTACATTTTTAAATTGGACGAAGCCTTAAGTCACTAATCCAATAGCACTCATCATAAGAATCTACAGAATTTATCTCTACCTCCCCAAAAAACATGTCCCTGTAGTACACTTTAAACTCTCAAAACTAACTACTACTTTCCATTGTTGTTAGTTGTTGCGAGTTCCATTGTAGCTCCACTGTTCCACTGTTTCAAGTCTAGTCATACAGTTCTTACATTCTTGTAAAAAAATTAGACTGACTTCAATCTATGTCTTCCTAATTTTCACCAGTTGGTCTGCCTTCTAAAGTAGGAGAATGGATCTATTCTCCCTCCTACTTATTAAAATTAACAGGTTTTTACATCCTATTTACTGAAATCCAGGTTTCTTAAATACCTGGAGACAGCTATCATGTCTCCCACCCGTTAGTCTCTTCTGTAAATATATGTTCCTAGACTTCCTGTAGATCCTAGAGACATTTCTGGAATACAGTGCACTTTCACATTGTAAGTGACTTTAAAAAAAAAAAACAAAAAACTGCCACTTGTTGAATTTTGATGTAATACCAAAGAATACTCACTCCTTCCTTTTCCAATCATGTATCTACATGAAGCTGGATTCTCTTCACATATCTCAACCAAAACATCACAACAGAAGGCAGACACAAAATCTAGCTGTCTTCTCCTAGTAAGCCAGAAATCAAGGTGATTTGCAAAAATATAAAACACCACCACTGGTCTAGTTTCTTTGGTTTTAGTACATATTTATTCTTCATAAAAATTCTATTTACAACACACTTTACTTTTAAATTAAATATATTTGAAATTGTCATTTAATTTCTAAAATAGAAAATATTAGTAGACATAGCCACATAAACCTAAATCTCCTTGGGGTCCTCAATAATTGTTCAGCGAGTAAAGAGGCTCTGAGGTCAAAAGGCGAAAGCATAGTCTATTTCGCATAAGATTTTCAAACCTCCATTCTGGTTTCTCTCTTTTCTCTCCCCTCTAATGTGTAAATGTACCATTGTAAAGGAGACATCTGTCACGTATCTATTCATGAGCTAGAATCCTTAAACATATAACCCTGTCTTCCTCCAGCTAGCGATTTCAAAAAATTAAAGGTCTACAGGGCCATCTGGTACACCTTCATTTTTAACATCTCATTACTAAATCATCTGAAGTCAAATACTTTAATTCTTCTAAGGAATGCAGTCTTTAAATATGGAAACAGAGCAAGTTTACAGTTTAATCATACTATCATGCCATCTTTTTTTGAGAGAGTGCCTCACTCTGTCACCCAGGCTGGAATGCAATGACGCTATCTAGGCTCACCACAGCCTTCACCTCCCAGGCTCAAGCAATCCTCCCAACTCAGCCTCCCGAACCACGCCCAGCTAATTTTTCTATTTTTTGTAGAGACAAAAAATACGGTTTTTGTAGAGACAAAAAAAAAACGCGGTTTCACCGTGTTGTCCAGGCTGGTCTTGAACTCCTGAACTCAAGCAATCCACCCGCCTAGGCCGCCCAAAGTGCTGGAATTACAGGCTTGAGCCACCACTCCCGACCCATACCAACCTTTTGGCCAAGTTTTCACTATTTACAAATAAAAAAAAAATCAAATTATTTATAATTGGCAGGAGCAGGAAAGAAAATGCAAGTGTTCTGTATAACCAATCATTCGATTCTCAGCAATAACCCACTCAAAAGTACCCATGTACTGATATGCAAAAAACCCAACTACTTATCTAGCCATTATGACACAAGGTTCCTAGGCTTCAACAAAGCAAAACTGGGCTTTACTTGAAAACCTTTTTAACTCCTCACTCCCTTAATCACAGGATTATAGAAGACAAAATGGGATGGAGATTATAGGTTTAAAAGATTCAACAGAAAATCTAGAGCTATATTACTGAACACCTCAAACAGAATCACAAGATTGGTAAGGGAAAAAGCTTTGGGACCCAGGGAAAAGAAATCTACACTATATTTATCATATAATTTCCTAAATTCTAATAGATTCCCAAATCTTAAAGAGCTGTATTGTGTTTGTAATAAAACTATATGAATATGATAATGGTAATAAGGTAAAAAGAGAGAAAGAAAACCACAACATACAGCATCAAAAATAATCCGATTATAATCCTAGATTTTTGGTTTCCAACGTCAAAACTTCAAAATAAGTAACTTTTACAGATGCTTATGGCATATCTTTAAAAGTAACCCATTTTCAAAGTTAAATTTGCCTAAAAGGAGTTCATCACATAGAATATTTAAGTTCATATACATGTTCATCTCTTTGAAGTTTCAATTCTTCTATTACTCTATGTTAAACTGGCTCCATTTTTCAAGAAACAAAGTTAGTTCTCTTCTTGACACATACAATACATTCAAGTTCCATTAATATCAATGGTTCTTACTAGCAGTAACTAGCCGTCAAAAAGCTTTCTAAAACTTCATCAATTTATATAATGTAGTAACATGTATACCTGAAAAAGGTGCTAAACACTTGTTAAAATAAAAACTGAGATTTCGCTTAATGGAAAACATCTCCATTTTGATACTCAGGGCTTCATATTCCTGTTAGCGTTAGTGAAATCTGAGAACACATCGCCAAACTTCAAAATGAATATAACCCTAGAGAGGATTAATAGTTGTAACTTGCATGCTGGTTGGTCAAAAAGAAATATCCCTCTGTAGCTATACAGGTACTTGGCATGAAGTGTAACTTTCACAAAAGCCTGTCCTATGATATCACGAATTAACAGAAACTCACTACTTCAGGTTACATAAAAACCCACTGCAATCTAAACTGCCGGAAAAAATTTATGGTTATCTGGAAGCTCAAGCTGAACGATTCCAATCCCTCCAAATTTTCAAACATCAGGAAAAGTGCAGAATGTTTTTAAGTTGAAGTAACCTCAGAAACTCACAATCTAGATATTTTGTCTCCCAAATTCCCAATACTGATAACGGATGTCAACAGATAAACAATTAAATACTACGTCCTCAGTATGTAGTTCACGGACTGGCTCACAGTAATGGCTCAATAAATATTCGAGAAACGAATGAATGAACGAATGAATGATGATATAGTCTTAAATTAAGAAACGATAAAATGGTCTTTTTAAACTCACAACACTAACACAAAACATCTTAATGAAACTACAAACAAAAGTAAAAGCATGCTAAAAGCACCAACTTCTCTATGAAATACATTTTAAACCGTTCATTTGGAAATTTTCAAGTGCAAAATCATCATCAGATATATTAAATCTTTAGTCATTTAATACTTTTATATTCTAATAATGAAAGCTCAGCGTTGGGATAAGATGAAAGGGAGAAACGTCAGTCAATGTATTCCGCCTGTTTAATGGATCCCATAAATCAAAGCTTTCCGTGAATTTTCTAGAGCATATTCATGCCAATCTTTTAAGCCTATTGTCACTTTCACACATGCTCACAGGAACAAAATGACAAAGAATGCTATGCCTGAACCACTGGATTCAGGACACAAAACACTTGATTAACAATTGTCAAGGCTCTGAATAGTAAATATCGACAGACATTTTCAAAATAAAGTACTCCCACCGATTCCTACATAAATCGAAGCTCTTGATTTCTTTAAAACATTCACTAGACTGCTGAACTTCCAGACGTTTGAAAATATGCCTACAATCTCCTCGTGTGCGACAACTGGGAGTGAACAACCCGTTTATCAATTGCGGATGAACATCGCTAAGCGTTTTCCAGACAAAAGAGCGTTAAAAGACATTCCATGCACATTTATTCATCACCCATAAATGTGTTTTCTCCCAAATTTCATTTTATGTCGTATACTTAAAGTTAAATACAGCAAGTTGAAATTTTAGTCAAAAGCACGCCGGTGCCTTACAAGCTGTCTAACTGCTACATCTGGTGGCAGCACACTTGCTTGCAAGAAGCCAGAAAACTTAGAAAACAATTGTAACCGATCTGGTGCATGTTTGCAATAACCTTTACGCAGATATTTCCCACAAAACCCACGACCCTGTCAGAGAACAGTAGCCTACTTGCAGCAGAGAATATAACGCACAAACACGCAGGAGGCAACGGCGGAGGAGAGAAAGTTGCAACCATCTGGAGGGGCGGTTTTAAAAGCCTGCCCACGAGTCAGTCTGTCGTTTAAATTGCTCTAGGGGGCCACACAGGGGATCAAAGTCTGCCTAGGTAATTTCAGTGTCTCTCCCCAAATGAGAGACCCTGCAAGCGAGGGGCATCCTCCAGGTCTGGGGCAGCAAAGCTCGCAGAGCGGGGACCGCCTCTATGGGAGGAGTGCGCGGGGGAAGGGGAGGGGGCTCGAGGACGAAGGCTCCAGCGGGAGGGAAAACCCACCAGAGACCGGAGGCCAGGAGGTTAAGAGTACTGAGTGTGCTGGCAAATGGAGCAGAAAGGGGCTCGCGTCCGGGGGGAGGCTTCCCACCCTCGCAGAACTGGCTCCCAGGAACCCCAGGCGAGTCTGTGCGCCTCGCCCCGTCCCCACCAGCGTGCACCCCCTCGTCCGTCTCCACCGCCACCCGCGAACCACCACCCACAGCCAGGGCAATACCTCCCCAGGGCCGGGGAGCCGGGCGGCCTCGCGTCCACCTCGCCACCATCCCCCACCCCGGGGTCTGGCGGAGGAGCCCCGGGGGGGCGCGGGGGTCCGCGGCACGGGAGGGGAGGCCCGCGAGCGGGCGCGGGCGCGGCAGTGCTTACCTTCCCTGGGCCTCCCGGATGGCGGCGTGTGATTCAGCAGGGACCTGGCCGCCGCCGCCGAGCCCGGGGTTGGAGACGTGGAGAGCTGGGACCAAGATGGCGGCCCCTCCAAACTTCCACTGCTACTTTGGACACTCATCAAGCTACTTTCTGGGAACCCGACTCCCCCCCTGCGACGGCAGCGGCGGCAACGGCACCGGCACCCGCCTCCGTCATGGCGGGGGCCGCGCTAAGGGCGAGCTAAAGAGCGAGGGCTGGGAGGGAAGAGTCAAGGGGATGGGGGAGGAAACCGAGAAGAGGGGCGGTGGGGAGGAAAGAGGTGAGGGAAGGAGAGGGGACAGGGAGGAGGGAAAGGGGGAGAAGCGAGGGAGCGGGCGGGCGCGCCGGAGAAGAGGCGGAGGGAAGGAGCGCGGCGGCGGAGGCGTCGAGGGGGTGCCCTGGGGCCGGGGTCGGAGCGCGGGCGGAGCGCGGGCTGCGCCGGCCGAGGAGACTTCCGCGGGCGGAACCTGCCGGCACCTCTGCAGTGCGTCGGCCCCCGGCGTCGCCCGGGAGGCGGCGGCGGCGGGCGGTGGGTGGCGGCTGAGGCGGCGGGGTAACCTCTGCATCAGTTACAGGCGGCGGCGGCGTCACGCGCCGCCTGTGCAAACACTATCGCGAGGCTCCTGCGCCTCCGGTAGCGGCGGCGGCGGCAGCGGCGGCCGCGGGAGCAGGCTTGGGGGAGGGACCTGCCGGGGGGGGGGCATGGGGAGGGAGCGAGCGCGCGAGGGAAGAGACGAGAGCGTCGGGGCGACCCTGCCGCACCCGCGGATCGCCGCGCGGCGCAGGAGCCCGGGGTTGCCGGACTCGCGTGCGCGGGGGCAGCGTCCCCGCGCCGGCCGGAGGGAGGCGCGCCCCCGCCGCGCCACTCGGGCTCGGGCGCTGCTGCCACCTGACTCCCCCTCTATTCCCGCGGAAGCGCGCCTGGCTCCTGACCCACACCCAACCCGGGGAGAAATGCTGCTGCTCTCGCTCAGCTGCCGCTTCTCGGGAGTTCAATGTGATCGTTTCTCAAAATGGAACTGAAAAGTTGAAAGTTCCTTCTTTCTTGTCCCTCTGTACTATGCAGAAAAACGTATGTGCGCCTCCCCGTCTGCAGAATGGGAATATGACCGAATAAAAGAGCTCTGAAATGGGTAGTGGGAGAGTTGGGAAATAAAACTTTCTCGTGTTTTCTAAAAAAGAGTGAAGGAATTTTTAATGAAGAAATTGAAAATTACCGGTTTCGTAGACTGTATGGTATAGCAATTCTTTGTTTTAAAACAGTAAGTGGAAAATCTAAATGAAAAATGTGATTACTGAATTCACATATTTAGGAAAACAGCGTTCATCTTGTAGAAGGTATGGTTTCTAGAAATTTCTAATTTGTTTCTAGTATCTCCGCTGAGTCCCGACTACAAAAATCCCAAAACAAATGACAGCATTTGCTAAAATTTATAGATACAGTGTACACAAGTACACTCACACCAGGGACTGGGCTTCTTGTACATAAAAGAGCAGTCTAGTTCAGGAAAAGTACAACAAGGTTATTTCTCTCTAAAAAAACCAAATTGCATAGAGCACTAAAAAGATTATAACATAACGCTACTGCACAGACATGAGGAAATGGCATGATTACCAGGGGGACAAAAATGTCGTTTCTATTTTTTATTTTTATGACTTTGCATTTCTCATAGTAATGTTTTGTTCAGATAAACTATCATACTAGAAAAGAACCTTGATTGTCAGTTATCTCCAAAAGTAATTGTAGTTGCCTTGTGCTTTAGATACTTCAGTGAGTTTTTAGTCTTGTCTGCTTTTCAAACTTAAGAGGGACATCTCACAACTTTATTGGGGTATGATTGACAAAATAAACTGCACATATTTAAAGTGTACAATTTCTGGCCGGGCGCAATGGCTCACACCAGTAACCCCAGCACTTTGGGAGGCTGAGGCGGGCGGATCATGAGGTCAGGAATTTGAGAACAGCCTGGCCAATATGGTGAAACCCCGTCTCTACTAAAAATACAAAAATTAGCCGGGTGTGGTGGCACGTGCCTGAGTCCCAGTTACTGGGGAGGCTGAGGTAGGAGAATGACTTGAACCTGGGAGGCGGAGGTTGCGGTGAGCCAAGATCGCGCCATTGCACTCCAGCCTGGACGACAGAGCGAGACTCCTAGACTCCGTCTCAAAAAAAAAAAAATAAAAATAAAGTGTACAATTTGATAAGTTTTGATATATATACATCCCTGAAACCACTTCTACAAGGAAAGTGGTGAATGTATCTATCACTCTCCAAAGTTTCCTCTATCCCTTTGTGGTTCCTCCTCCACTCTACTTCCATTCTCTCTAACCACAGATCTTCTTTCTGTCATATGGGTAGCTTTACATTTCATAGAATTTTAGATAAATGTTGGCCATACAGTCAATTTGTACTCTTGTCTGCCTTTTTTTTTTTTTTGAGACAGAGTCTTACTCTGTTTTGCCCAGGCTGGAGTACCATCTTGGCTCACTGCAGCCTCTGCCTCCCAGGTTCAAATGATTCTCCTGCCTCAACCTCCTGAGTAGCTGGAATTACAGGCATGTGCCACTACACCCAGCTAATTGTGTATTTTTAGTAGAGACAGGGTTTCACCATGTTGGCCAGGCTGGCCTCCATCACCTGACCTCAGGTGATCCGCCCAGTTTGGCCTCCCAAAGTGCTGGGATTACAGGCATGAGCCACTGTGCCCGGCCTTGTCTGACTTCTTTCACGCAACATCATTATTTTGAGAGATTCGTCCACATTGTTGCATTATCAATAGTTTTTATTTTTAAGTAGCGTTCCAGTGAATGAGTATACCACACTTGTTTATCCATTAAACTATTGATGGACATTTGCATTGTTTTCACTTTTTGGCTATTATGAATAATGGTGCTAAGAACATTCATGTACAAGTCTTCCTGTGGACATAGACTTTCCTTTCCCTTGGATACATACCCAAGATCTTGCCATTCGATTTTTATACCTGAGTACATGCACTATAAGAGGAACAGAGTTTCTGTAATGACATGTTGATAAATGTATGCTCTTTCTGTATTTTTAAGAGTAGGCTTAGTCAGCAGATTGTGGTGAAAAGCATATGGGACAGGAAGGAAGTTAAGAGACCTGGGTGTTAGTCTCAGCAGGTAACTTGATTCAATTTCTTCATCTACAAGAAAGAGGTTAGAGTCACTGAGTGATTTTTAAAGCTCCTACCTGAGACTATACAGAGCTCAGTTCCTCTCAAAAATGGTAAATAAAGCCCAACCAAACAGGTTTGATGATGGTAGGTTATCTCTCCCAACCTTCTCCAGAGCTTCAAGCTTTTCAGTTGCCCTTATACCAATTCATATACTTTTTTTTTCAGTTGTCACCCAGGCTGGAGTGCAGTGGTACAATCTCAGCTTACTGTAACCTCTGCTTCCCAGATTCAAACAAGTCTCATGCCTCAGCCTCTTCAGTAGCTGAAACTGCAGGTGCCCGTCACAATGCCTGGCTAATTTTTTGTATTTTAGTGGAGATGGGGTTTCACCGTGTTGCCTAGGGTGGTCTCAAACTCCTGAGCTCAGGCAGTACACCCACCTTGGCCTCTTAAAGTGCTAGGGTTATAGGCATGAGCCACCACATCCAGCCTAACTCATGTTACATTTAATGCAGATTGGCTACGTTTATTTTTAATGATAACTAGACGATTACAGCATATACATGATCAAGTTACTTTCATTATATTTTTGTTGTGAATACTTCCTTAAAAGGACAATTAAATGTTTGATTCCTGTCTTCATGTAGTTTTTGATAAGACAGTACTCACCAACCTTAAAGATAAAGGCCCCTACTGGCAATAGGGAGTTATTTAAACAAACTGTGGCTTAGCCTGAAAATGGAATGTCATGCCATTATTTAAAATCATGTCTTCAAAGAATACCAAAGAAGATAACATTTTCACACTATAGTAAGTGAAAAAATGGATATGATCTGGATTTATTCCTAAGTATGCATCAAAAACAACTGGAAGTACTCAGGAGGCCAAGGTGGGAGAATCACTTGAACACAAGAGTTCAAGACTAGCCTGGGCAACATGATGAGACCCCATCTCTTCAAAAAAAAGAACAACTGGAGGGATGTGCCCCCAAAAGTTAATAATAACTAGCATTGGGCTTTGAGATTACATAGTTATTATTTCTTCATGTATGCTTTTCCATATTTTGTGAAACAAATCATGTATTTCTTTTTACATTCAGAAAAAGTTCAATAAATACTTCTGAAGTAATTGAAGCATAAAGAAGGCCTCTGGACATAAGTTGTGCAAATACATAATTTTATAAAATGATTATGTCAAATAGATGAAAACTTTTAAATGGCAAGTAGAGGCTTCTCCACACCTTGACATTTGCTAGGATATGGGCATTCAAAAAATGTCTGATAAAAAATAGATCAAGGCTGGGAATGGTGCCTCACACCTGTAATCCCAGCACTTTGGGAGGCTGAGGCAGGAGGATCACTTGAGCCTAGGAGTTGAAGACCAGCCTGGGCAACAGAGTAAGACCCCATCTCTATTTTAAAAAAAGAAAAAGATTAGATGGTTACAGTGATAGATTACACAATAGGAAAAAATATAGAAAAGTCAGAAGAGTCCAGATTCAGACAGAAAGAGACACTTGCCACTCGGTAGGGAAGAAGAAATCTCAAGAGCAAGAAGAGATCATTGGAAGCTTTCTGGCAATCTTCCATGGAGGAATATTCCCAGAGGGAAAGCCAGCTTGAGAACACAAAAATGAACTGAGCAAGTTAAAGGTAGTAAACCTGCCTAGAAAGAATCAGGAAGAGACTGGAGAGAACGTTCTGAGTGCTCCATGGGGACAGGGCCTTAAGCCTCTAGTACAGACCAAGGGCTCTGTCAGTGTTGTGGAATTAATGAATGATGACGATCAATGAGCTGGGATTCAGGTGAAAGGGCAATGCAGGAGAAGTCTTCAATGATGACTAGAGGATTACAGCATATACATGATCAAGTTACTTTAGTTATATTTTTGTTGTGAATACTTCCTTAGAAGGACAATTAAATGTTTGATTCCTGTCTTCATGTAGTCTCCTGATGGAAGGTCAGATGCAAAAGTGGAAGGTTTGAGCCCCGATCTGTAGGATGATCATAATTTACAATGATGTTTAGTAGACTCTTTACTATTTCTATACTATAGTAAAAATATTTACAAAGCATCCAATATTATAGACATACTAAAATGCATTTTATACTCTTAACATTTGATTACTTCTAAATTCAAGGAAAAGATTAATGTCTGAGCCACCTAAGCCCCTTTCCCCCAAACCAACAAGAAATGAGCCCAGAGGCCAGGCGCGATGGCTCATGCCTGTAATCCCAGCATTTTGGGAGGCCGAAGTGGGCAGATCACAAGGTCAGGAGTTCGAGACCAGCCTGACCAACATGGTGAAGCCCCGTCTCTACTAAAAATAGAAAAATTAGCCAGGCATGGTGGTGCACACCTGTAATCCCAGCTACTCAGGAAGCTGAGGCAGGAGAATTGCTTGAACCCAGGAGGCGGAGGTTGCAGTGAGCCGAGATTGTACCATTGACCTCCAGCCTGGGCA